AAAGAAGAATGTACCTGAGAACCTCGATAAATTCGTCATCTGCCAGGTACCAGCATACACTGAGGATGAGGACTCTCTTCGCCGAGCCATTGACTCGGCAGCACGAATGAAGTATGACGACAAACGCAAATTATTGGTCATTGTCTGCGATGGTATGATCATCGGCCAGGGCAACGATCGACCTACTCCGAGAATCGTCCTCGACATCTTAGGTGTGAATGAAACGGTGGATCCTGAACCACTAAGTTTCGAGAGCTTGGGCGAGGGTATGAAACAGCACAATATGGGTAAGGTTTATTCTGGATTGTACGAAGTTCAAGGACATATCGTGCCTTTTATGGTCGTCGTCAAGATCGGAAAGCCCTCAGAAGTCTCGAGACCCGGCAATCGAGGCAAGCGTGATTCTCAGATGGTAATCATGAGATTCCTGAATCGCGTGCATTACAATCATCCTATGAACCCTCTTGAGCTGGAGATGCATCATCAAATCCGGAATATCATTGGAGTCAACCCAACATTTTACGAATTCATGCTTCAGATCGATGCGGACACTGTAGTGGCTCCTGACTCTGCTTCACGCATGGTAGCTGCATTCCTTCACGACACCAGGCTCATTGGGATCTGTGGAGAGACTGCTTTATCTAACGCCAAGTCCTCCTTCACCACCATGATTCAGGTCTACGAATACTACATATCGCATAATTTGACAAAGGCCTTCGAGAGCTTGTTCGGTTCTGTAACTTGCCTACCAGGTTGTTTTACGATGTACCGCATACGCGCTGCGGAGACTGGAAAGCCTCTGTTCGTCAGCCGAGAAATTGTTGAGGCGTATTCAGAAATCCGTGTAGACACTCTTCACATGAAGAACTTGCTCCACCTTGGCGAGGACCGATTTCTGACGACGCTCCTTCTCAAGCATCATCCGAAGTACAAGACCAAATACACCTTTAACGCGCATGCATGGACCATCGCACCCGACAGCTGGAACGTCTTCATGTCGCAACGTCGACGGTGGATCAATTCGACTGTTCACAATCTCGTCGAACTCATTCCACTCCAGCAGCTCTGCGGTTTCTGTTGTTTCAGTATGCGCTTTGTTGTCTTACTCGACTTAATGAGCACCATTGTCCAGCCTGTAACCGTGGCCTACATTGGTTACCTGATTGTCTTGATCGCTATCGACTCTGCAGTGGTACCATTGATGGCGTTCGTACTGTTAGGAGCCATCTACGGTCTACAAGCCATAATCTTCATACTACGGAGAAAGTGGGAGATGATTGGATGGATGATCATATACATTCTGGCCATGCCTGTCTTCTCACTGGGTCTGCCACTGTATTCGTTCTGGCACATGGATGATTTCTCATGGGGTAATACCCGAGTTGTTACAGGTGAGAAGGGCAAACAGTTAGTTATATCTGATGAGGGCAAATTTGACCCTGCGTCGATTCCGCACAAGAGATGGGAAGAATACCAAGCTGAGCTTTGGGACGCTCAAACTCAGCATGACGATAAGTCGGAAATCTCTGGCTATTCATACGGCACGAAATCGTATCATCCCGCAGCTTCAGAATATGGCTATCCACCGTCAAGACCAATGTCTCAGATGGAGATGCCGAAATATGGATCGCGTCTATCACTCGCTCCATCAGAGATAGTGAATAGAGGCTATCAAGAGAACATGGAGATGTCTGACTTCTCGGAGTTGCCAAGTGACGACTCTATCTTGGCGGAGATCAGGGAAATCCTGAAGACCGCCGATCTTATGTCTGTGACAAAGAAGAGCATCAAGATGGAGCTGGAGAGGAGATTCAACGTCAATCTCGAACCGAAAAAAGCGTACATTGGTTCAGGTGAGTCTATTGCGTACTGCGCTCAGTAATCCATATGCTGACTCATTGACAGCGACGGAAGCTATTTTATCTGGGCAGCTGTGATGAGGGAAAGTTTAGAAGACAAGCGTGCATGAAGAAATGTACAGCAGGCAGTATTAGGCATGGAGTTATCTTTCTAGCATAGCGTCTAATGGTGGAAGGGCAAAGGGAAAAGGGCACGGGAGAATCATGACCATTTTGATATTGAAGGGTGCATTGCATTGGCATTGAGCACGAACAAGTGTTTAGTAAAGCGTCGCATTGGCGGATGTACAATCGTCTTGTCAGCCATTGACCGTTCAAAGTAAATAGGGAACTTGAAAAATCTCTCCTAGCTTAACAGGTTCCTTCCCACTTGATGCACCGTATTGGACGCCTGAATCGTCTTCCACGTCTTCCAATTCTTTCACTTCAGTCTCTTTCTCTCGGTTGTCGTGTTTCCCGGGCTGTTTCGCCACCCACGACATCTGGACAAGCTTCAAGCATGTCCACTCGGCCTTCTCGCAATGCTCTTGCACCGGGGCCATCGGCCAATACTCTCTACTGCCGCACATGTGGACGTGTACTTTGTAAGCCAATACTTCGTCTTTCATGTAGCTACTATAAATTTCCTCTTGATGTGATAGTACTTCTCTTCTGATACAACTTGGCTACTTCTCCTGTTCTAACCCTGCCAAAGCTCCCCCGCAAATCCCACACCACACAAGCCACGCCTCAGAAATACTGCTCGGACCGCTGCCGACGAGAGAGGCCTCGTCCTGCCCCTTCCACTGAGAACGACATCGAGCAAGCTTTTGTACAGCTACTGGGCGATGGCAGAGAAAGAAGGATTGTGAAATGTGAAGAAGTGGAGAGAGCGATCTTTACGAAGACTAGGACGGACGACGGATCTGATAATGAGGAGGTCGAGCTCTTAGACGCAGAGGAGCTGGGAGAAGACGGTCCGAGTGATGGAGAAGAGGAAGCGGAGGACGATGGTGGCGGCGTGAGACTCCCATCTGAGATGGAGCCTCCTGCAGCTACTACTACAACTACTACTGCTACTACTACGAAGCCCCAATCGGAGAAAAGACCGCATAAGACTCTGAGGGAATGGGGCATGCAAAAGGCTAAAGAGCGGGAGATGGTGAGGAGGGCCGCACGTAGAGGTGTGGCTTTTGGCTTCGAGACGGAGGAGGGAAAGAGGAGAAGCGTAGAGGCGGTTCAATGGGGCAGAGTGGTGGAGAGTAGTTTTGCCAAAGGAGAGTGGGGTATTAGATGGAGGGAATAAGCCGTTGGCATTGAAAGCCCAGTGAGATGATGAAGGGTGGTGCTAAGGCCGATGTATAAGATGACTTCCTATCAAGAGCTACAAACAATGACATTCGCGCGGACAGCTGCAAACCTCGCCAATACCGCTCGTGTGGGGACATTTGTATGGCTATCTAGGGGTAAGTCGTTGACGGGTTACAGTCGTCGATTGGCGTGCATCTTCGAGCGTTCTATCATATATATCCTGATTCATGCAACATATAGTATATAATATGCGTCATCAATCATGGATTCATTATGTCGACTCATGCCAGGGACGCTTGCCGCTGCCGCGCGCCATCTTTTAGAAGCGTTCGAGTAAAGTAGGAAGTGGCACAAAAAGAATCAAGATTAATAAATAGATTTTAAGAGTAAAGTAAGATTAGTCTCTAGATTAAATATCCTAAGCCTTGCATAAGAGATATTAAAATTTTTAGACTTAAATAGACACTTTTGGGGTCGACTCGTTCTCTCCTGATTCACCAACGAGCAAGTCATAGAACTTGTCCATACAATTTATGTTATTATCCGGCCGTGTTGACTGGTTGCTGTGACCGAGGATACAAGTATGCGACATGGGGCTGATTTCGGGAATTCGGTAGGGATCTGCGACGAATTGATGTGCCAGGATCCATGCGATGCTTTGTATCTATACTCCTCCCTAACATTTATTTTTTCATTTCTTTTGTTAGTAGCACCTTGTTATATCCCAAACGCTTGTAGATGTGAAGACAAAGTCGTGTCATTACTTCCATGCACCTTCTCAATTTCCTACATTTGCCGGCATGACTTCGGGATTCCGCTGTATAGGAACATCACCGTCGTTCCAGACTTTGTCCACAATGACCATGGTGTCGGAAATGACGGGCATGCCGTCATTGAGAAGCCATCAGCGCGCAGACCGCCTTCGGTCGAATACATCGATTTAGCGTCCAGGGATTTATTTCCTCGCAAACCCTACAACGTCTACCTTGACTACAATGTTCAAGCGTGGTGTCAGAGATGGCATGGCTCTCAGCAGCCATATTTGGGGCCGCGAGGCGTACATGTGAACAGCAGTCCAGACGACATGCTTGAGGCCTGGGTTGTTGATCCAATTGGTAAGCGCCTCGTCTCGTCATGTCCTGAGGAATCGAAATTCATCGATGGCAAAGCTCTAAACCCAAACCCCATGTTTGGCTCCTTTGCCGAAAGTGAGCTTGATAGTACCCATTGCTTGATCGGAGTGGTCGACTTGGCCTCTACGGATTCGACATTGTTCGAGATCGGCCCCTACTCTAAACTTCCGGGAGTCCGGATGTTGATTGGAGATATGTCGATTGGGGCCAATTGCAAGCCCAGTGTGAGGAAGCAAACAAACCTCCATTTAGTCGTAGTCCTGGGCAAAATTTGGTTCTTGCATAGCCTGAGACTGAAAAGCCTCTGTCTCTGAAACGCAGCACAATGCTTATGTTGAGAAGTAGCAAACGTGCGTTGTTCTCTCCATCGAAGAAGTGTAAAGACGAAACAGCTATTCTCCTTCGTGCTTGGCAGGGGATGGAATATACCCCCGAGCTTCTTCAAAGCGTTCGCTCGATGATTAGCGAGCTTTCTCTTCACACTGGTGGCGATTACTCTATCTACCTTATGGTGGAAATCAAAGACAAAGACAGACCTATCCTGACTAGCCCTGGTTCTGGGGCCTATTAAGAAGCCCTTGATGATATCGTACCTCGCGAATTCCATAATATGACGATCCTCTTCAACCAAGACCTACTGAAGGTTTGATATCCTGGGATTGATCAAGGAGGCGGTCAATCCCTACACATAACTCAGCCACTAAAATTGTTTTCCAATATGAACCCTGACTTCGTCTTCTTGTGGCAATTTGAACTTGACGTCCGCTATACAGGGAACTGGTACAATATTCTCGAGAATGCCGAGTCGTGGGCTCGCAAACAGCCACGCAAGCTTCAGTTTGAACGAGCTGCCAGATTCTACATCCCTTCTTACCACGGTACTTACGCCAGCTTCTCGGACACTGTAGAGGCCGCCAACCCAGACGGTGGTGTCCGGGGTCCTGTACGAAGCTGGGCCGTCCCAAGATCTCTCGGACCTAAATTTCACAGGAAGACAGCAGCAGAAGATGATTACTCCTGAGGCGTCGGCGAAGAGGCAGACCTTATTTCAAGGTCTCCTATTATAGACCTCAATCACACGGAGCTTTTCAAGAAGAATACCATCTACGGTTTCCAGAAGGGAAGATCCACCTCGTCGCTCACTCATGGTCACTCCGTGGGTCCGCTTGTCTAGGCAGCTTCTGCAGATTATGCATGATGCCCAGAGCATGAACATACGGTCCCAAACGTTCGCCCACACCATGGTGCTCCTCCATGCTCTCAAAGTGGCCCATTTCTCCATACCGCAATACTTAGACCACCAAGTGGGGGTGGATGAGCCCGAGGAAGACAACAAAATCTTCAACATTGTCGGGCCGAATGGCACCTTTACTGACTTTGCTGCGCAAGATACGATCAAAATGCGAACACGAAGTACGTTTCGGTGGCGTCTGGAGTTCGAGCAGTATCCACGGACGCCGTATCGGCGGCGGTGTGGACTTGAAGGGGAGGCCTTTGCGGTGCGAGGAATGGGTCCGAATGGTCACAAGGACACGCCGTACCCTTATCCTGCTGGGTTGGACAAGGTGGGCAGGTTGTGTCTTGCCCGGCATGTTGCTGCATCCTGTCGACGCGGTGAAGGCCAAAGGGTAGCCCATAGGTAGCCCGCGTGAAATGATGTAAGGCATTGGAGACCTACGATTTAGGGTCTTGATGAATATAGAGCGTCCATACTCGTCCCTTGGAGGTAGACCATTTATGAAGAGCGATCGCGATACATCTTCAATGCCAATCCCATTCTACCAAAATGCTTGATTTTTCGAAGCAGCAACCTTTTCTGTTGTGCCATTTCAAACTACATTCTCAATAACAGTTCATGCTACTGTCTTCGCAACCTCGATCTGTTGAAATCTTCATTCGTTCCAAGGAAAATTAGGCCTCGAAAGGCAGCTCACGCGGAAACCAAGAAGGACTCTCAGATTGATTCAGCTACTCTGCTTTTGTTGGTGAGACGTCAAAAAGGGTCGGATCGTATGAGGGTTGTACAGTTAGAGGACCTGGATGACTTCGATGCTTTCCATGAAGGTGATCGACTGGCTGCATGCTTAGAGGCCCTCGGCTCTTTCAACCTTATGATCGAGGCTGAACAGTCAGATGTTCAGGCTCTCATCCGGTCACACTAAATAGAGCAGCAGTGAAACGAGGGAAGCTCAAAGCATGGAAATTTTCTATCGTTGATGTAGACGGACCGCACGCGGTGCCAACGCTATGCAATTTCTATGGGATATTGAGAGTCTTTGCAGTAGATGAGATAAGTTAGCCAACGTGAGATGACTCCGATGGCAAGAAGAAGACTAGCCAGTCTCTCCGAGTACAAGGCCAGTATGCAATGACTGTCTCCTCTCTTCTGACGCGAAGACACTTAGAAAATGAGTCAATCGATTATCCATCATCCAACCTGCACATCCACATTGATCCATCCAACACCGAAAATAACGGGAATTCTTTCGCGAGCACATGCAAACCTCTTTTCGAACTCTACGCCTGAGCAGTCGGAAGCGAGTGTCCAGCACTTGGACGCTCGAATGACTGCGAATGCGCTGACGCTGACGCTGACGCTGACGCTGACGCTGACGCTGATGCGGATACTGATGCCGATGCTGAGGTATTCTCTAGATAACATTGGCCTGCGGTAGTGCCACCACCAAGGCCGTCAACAAGACACTGATGATCAGAGCCCAAGCATGACTCTGCTTCACAATCTTGTCCTGTAACAACCTCACCGCCTGTTCTTGCACCCAGATGCTCTTGGTGAAAATCTTCCGGAACAGATGCTTCTGTCTGTATTTCTCGACCCACAACTCATGGCTGTAGCTGTTAGATGTCCCGAAAGTGTCGAGTGAAACACCATTTCTGGAGCGGGAGACCATGCTGAACATGTCGTCGGTAGATAGATTAGCTTCCTCTTCAGGGCCGCTATCGAAGCTGGTAAGGGAGACGTCCTCGCTGAATTGCTCCCATGGGCGCAGAGCTCGGCGATGGCTTGTGTGGATGATGACGCAAAGACCCTTGTAAGCCGCGACACCGATATCGAAGCCAACGAAAAAGAGTGGAAAGACGAAGAACCTCCACCATCTTGACGCGTGGCTTAAAATGAGCAGAAGACCGAGAATGAGAGCCGCGACGATATGCGCGATACCTGAGTTCCGGACGAAGAGCACGCGTGGCTTGTTGCCGTTACAGATAGCCCAGCGGATGAAATTCGGGTGAGATTGACCGCGCAAGCTAGCTTCGACCATGTCTCTGACGAGGGTGAGCGCAGAGGGGTGAGTAGTGTGTTCTAGGGCATGAAGAACGGCGGCGCGGTCCCTACTTGAGAGATTGAGCTCTCTGCTCGAGCCAGGATGGAGATAGTGCGAAATGACACGATTCATCTCAGAACGGAAAGGCTGGCTGGTGGCTGTGAAGGCTTAGCTGTGTAAATCTGGATTGGGCAATGAAACTTACATGAATTGCATTTCAGGCCCATCTGCGTGTCGGCGTCCTCGACAGAATCGGCATGGTACAGAGTAGTGCTGGTGGTTGAAGCCAGTGACCGTGTGTCATGGTGAGACAAGTTTGGTGAGCCTGGGCGGTCGATGTGGACAAAGCGGAGCTCGGAAACCATCGCTCCTCCAGTGCTCACAGGGTTCCCTCGCTCGACGATAGTAGCACCGGTCTGATTGGAGTCATTGCTGTGAGGACGTGGTACTTCTGCTTTGTACCAGGGTGGCGATAAGGCTTGCTCAGACTTGGGAGCCGCAAAGAACCTACGCGAGTAGTCTTCGTACCACAGCCAGAACTGCAGATTTTCGGCATCGTGAGAGACGTATACAAGGTATTCCTACCCAAAAGGTCATTATTGAAAGCCTAAGGTTAGCCTGTACCAGGATGCCGGCAGGTATAGCTACCATGAAGTCCTGACGCGAGCATGGCGGCATTGCCTTGTTCTGTACAACATTCTCGAATGAAAGATCCGGCGGAATGGATCTCTTGTGCTTTGACGTTCTCTTAACATATGCCTGACATGAAGACACGGTCATAGGTCCTGGAGCCTTTCCAACAAAGTCGGGGCGCCCCTGCTGATGATTTTGGGATCAGTATTGTCTATCTACACGGGATACTCGAACCCTGAAACATTTCTGCACAGTAGACATTCTCAACAAATGTCAGGTAGGGTTCCAAACTTGTGGGAAGAGGGTATGTGGAGCGCGAAGATACGTACGTAGAAGAGGATTGACATGGTGGGGGTATGATGGCAGCTACGTAAGACAACCAGGGACGGTGACACTCCAACAGGATAGGACTAAGCTATCACAAGGGAAGATATGAGAAGATAAAGAGAGGGTTAGAAGATGCCCATGCATGAATGAATGAATGAAGGAATGAATGAATGAATGAATGAAAGGGGAAAGAGGAAAGGGGAAAGGAGGGTGGGGGGGAAGGGGGGAGAGGTGATATGTATGGGGTGAGGGTGATACTGATGATGATCAGGGGCAGATGCGTACGAGTACAGGCCAGTAGTCGACTCGACTGGCTGGAATTCGACGAAAGAAAAGAGGCGCAAGAAGAAGATAGTAAAGTAAAGTACGGTAGAAGAAGCCGTTGGATGGATGATGCGCGTAAATATTATAACTGCATTAGCGTCATCAGTGCCATGTGGATCCCTCGTGAATGAATACCTCAGGGACCTCACTCTACTCTACTTTATAAGACATATATTGACTAAAAGTAATGTTCAGTATCCAGGTTGGAATAGAAAAGACGTTGATTGTAAGGAAGATAATTTTTAAACTTTTCGACTCAGATCTGGAATACGGGAAATCCAGGAACATGGACAACTTCGGCTGCACTTCCCCGCATTAGTGCCGAATAGTCCCGACTAGTGCCCGTGTTTAGTCACATAACGAGAGACATCTCGCAGAAAAGGCTGACCGGTCTGCCGGCAACTCACCTCCCCAAGAGCAATCTGACTGCATTAATGACAATTATTCTCAACTTCTTAATCAACCCCTCTTCATTTTCATGTACCATCCCGAGATTCCCGTGCATTCATCATGTAAAGTACAGTAGGTAGGTAGTAAGTATCGCAGTATCGCTTCATTGCTTCCTACCTATCCCTACAGTACACTGCTCCTCTTCACCGAGTACGGCTCCGAGTCGAAGCAATTTCCAACTGGCTTTCACCTTTGTACAAGCAGGTCCACACCTTCATCATGGCCAAGCAATTAAGGCAGTGTAGGATCTTGTTGGATTTACTCATGCGGAATACTCATAGGTACCTACTCCGGCTTTTCCTGGGCCACAATGAAAAAGCACGCATTTTGATCGATGCCCCTTTCTGCAGGCCGTAGCCGTTTGGGCCGACTCTGGGGCGCTGAACACGCAGGAATGCTGTCATTCAAATACGCAATCACTGAAGGGTGGAAGTCGACTACCTTACTTGCGCTTCGGTTAAAACCCGTGGCGTCGTTGATGCAAAACTTACCCAGAGAGGACGCATATACACATGCAACGTATTTACAACGCAAGACACGATGTGACTCATTGAGAACATGGCCCATCGCTCCAAGTCCATACTCTTGTCAGAACACACGGAATGGAAACAAACGCTTTGGAGTATCTACAACTTCTTGATGATTGCCTCTGCGTACTCGTGTGTTTTCGCCTTCCCTCCCAAGTCGCCAGTCAAATACTGGAAGTGTCAGCATGTTGGCTCCAAAAACGATCCGCAGTCGTCTCACCTTTCCTTCTGCCAGAGTATCAAAGATAGCTTTCTGGATTTGGTCTGCATGCTCATGCAGATTCATGTGCTGCAACATCATGATGCTGCTCAGCAGCAGCGCTGTTGGATTTGCAAGGCTCTTGCCTGCAATATCTGGCGCCGAACCGTGCACCGCCTCAAAGATAGAGCATTCGTCTCCAATGTTGCCAGAAGGTGTCAAGCCCAATCCACCAATCAGTCCGGCGCACATGTCCGAAAGGATATCACCGTAAAGATTCGGCATCACTAGCACCTTGTCGTTGTAGGGTGTTGGGTCCGTTACAATCTTCAAGCATGCGTTGTCGAGTAGTTCAGCGTCAAACTCAATCTGTGGGAAGTCCTTGCTGATCTCGCGAGCAATGTTCAAGAACAAGCCGTCACTCATCTTCATGATCGTAGCTTTATGCACAACCCGAACCTTCCTCTTGCCTACGTCCTCTGCATACTGAAACGCGAATCTCAATACCCGTTCAGAAGCAGCCCGGGTGATCAATTTTATGCTCTGTACAACACCGTCGATCACGACATGTTCAATCCCACTGTATTCTCCTTCGGTGTTTTCGCGGATAAGGACGGTGTCGACATTGTCATAGGGGGTTTTGTAGCCGGCGATAGACACGCAGGGACGGACGTTGGCAAAGAGGTTGAATGTACGGCGAAGAGTGAGATTGAGAGAGACGTGGCCTTTTCCTATCGGGGTCTGCTACGACATTAGCCTCTGATCCTCTTAGACAGGCGTTGGAAAATCCTACGGCTAGAGGTCCTTTAAGCGCAACGAAGTTTGTTTTGACACTATCAATGGCTTTGTCAGGAATGACGGTTCTGCCGTCCTTCAATTGGGGTGTGACATCTACAGATTCCCACTTGATTGGGACCTGAGAAGTATCAGCTCAAATTTGAGAGCAGAGTAGGAGGTTGCACGTGCCTTAGCTGCGGAGAAGATGTCCTTGACAGACTGCGATATCTCTGGGCCGATACCGTCTCCTTCAATTAGTGTGACTGTATAATTGCCCTGGATCCATGAAAAGATGAGCGCAGTGTTCTTTCAGACTTCTTATCCACTAGGCAAATTGTGTAGGGTCTTTGAGTATTCGGGTATCACATACATCTGAGCCTTTCTTCCCTTTGAACTTGGCAACTTTGTCTTCATATGGGATCGAGTAAGACCTGAATTGAGTCTTGATCACAGGCAGGTTCGTAAGCATTGTCTTCAGATGCAGCACATGCAATTGGACCTCACATACTTGTGCTATTGGTGCTATTGCGGGGACCCATGGGCGAGACACGTTAGCTATACGCAGACACTGCCTCGCTGGAACAGTAAACGAGCGACTAGCTATCATCTTGGAAACCCGTGTGCTCTCTTGGCGCACGATTGGTCCCCAGAAGCTGTAGGAAAGTGAGGTAACAGTTTTGAATATGAGTATGTAAGGACAGCTGATAGAGAAGAAGCAATTTACCTGCAGCTCAACTCAACCCTCCCGCGCTATTGCTTCGGAACGAAACCTTATGTTCCATTGCACCTCGGCTGGTCCCGCATACAAGTCGAAGCTCTGGGGTACACAACTGTCGCATGGTTCAGAGTGCAATCCATCAGCGAGTCTTACTATTGATCTTAGAAGCCTTCCAAAATTCACGCAACCTTGTGGATAACCACAGATGCTGCCAGAATGAACGATGAGCATACAATCCTCAATCATTACAATCTGACCAGTCCTTTCCCCACAGCTTGGCCTGCAGAGAAAGATGAAAGTGACGCTTCAGAGGAGGAACTTACCGCGAGCGGTCTCTCAAAGACTGCCATTCGTCAATCCAGATCGAGGTACTCGGCTCTGCAACGCAATGGCAGCAATCATCGTCGCTTAATACCCGGGTCCCAGAAGCTTCGGGACGGTCATGAGAATCTGGTACAGAGGGACGAGCCTGACCCTCTCGGAGTGACGGATAGTGTTATACGTGTGCTGAGACAAAAGGGTCTGCCGGTCGAGGAAGACCAGCGGTTAAGTGAGGACTGTCCATCCTTTTACGATCACAGCATGCTGATTGCGTTCAGGGAACAGATTCCTCCTATCCTCTACTACCTTTTCTCCAAATCTATATCTATCACAGGTCCATTCAAATGCTTCAACCCAATCCTTGCTGCAAGGTCTCGACTTTCTCTCGCGATCTATAGATCAGAAATCTGCGTCTTTAAAAGTACTCGTGGAGTCTAATTTTGAACGATTCGTCCGGGCAAAAACCACGATTGACAATGTCTACTCCGAGATGCGTAACCAAGGCGCAGAGCCCGAACAGGACAGATCACGCACTCACTCCCGAGTCACCAGCAGGGGCAGCACACATTTCAGGAACGCCAGCGGGCAGGGTCCTCTATCTCCTGGAAGAGGCGCCAACAAGCCATTGCAAAGCGACAAGAGAAAGAACGCCCTGACGAAGGAGAGCGAGTACGGAGTGCAAGGCATCAAAGCTCCTCTGATCGAGGTTGCAGTCAAGGCTGAAGAAATATGGGGTCCAGCTTTGGGTGGACGAGAACGGGAGGGAAGCTTGAAGTCAGTAATGGATTCTGTCGACAAAAGCCACGAGATACTCAAGGTGGGAAAGGCTGTGTCCGAGTGCATCAAGCGCAATGACTACGAGGGTCTGGTGAGAGAATACTCTGGAGCTCGAAAATATACAGAAGACGCCAGGCAAATAGCCAGCAACGCATCGAATGGCCACGCACAGCTCACGGACTCCCAAGTCCATCAAATCGTCATCACTGGCCGCATGTGGTCCGAAGTGGAGGACCGGATCGAACATTTCAAGCGCGACATCTGGCGGAAGCTAACCAACGTTCAGAACAACGCAACATCATCCACAGAACGTAATGCGCAGGATGATCACATGGCGCTAATCGGCATCCTTTTAGAACTTGGAGTGGAAGACAATCCAATCTGGGTATGGCTGCTGAGCCGATATGACCATTTGAAGAACAAGATCAATGCTACCTTTGAGCGCTCAAGGGTAGAAATTGAGGTCCTTCGCAGAAGACTTGCGAACATAGAACCACCATTTTCTCGGGTCGTTGCTAGTCATCTGCAAAGCCCCGCTCGGAAGGACGCTGACGAAACGAGCAAAGACCTGGATACGCCGCCTGTTCTAGAGCTTTGGGATCTCATATATAATTCGTTGAACAACCTGCTGTCAGTGCAGGGTGGGATCCTGGGCGAAGTAATTGAATTTTGGGGCAATGCTCAGACCTTCATTGACGGCAAAGGACAGAAAACACTGCCAATAGGGATCGACGGCCGTAGCCGAAAACATCACCGACTGTCTACAGATGGTGTCAAAGATCTCCAAAACGGAGCCGCCGAGCTCGTTGGCATATTGCAAGAGAACATATACTCGTTTTTCGCAGACCCTCCGATCGAAGATATTTCCATGCTTTATTCCCCAACAACACCAACACCGGTCACACCACAATCTGCCACACTGTCGCCGTATGCCCACCAGGATTCTCGTTTCAAATTCGATGAAAACCATCCACCGCCTCCTTCCCTTCGACGAGGTGAAGCATGGGAAGAGTTCGCGTTCTGGCCTCCATACGCAAATTCGCTGAGCGGAGTACACTACCTTGAAAAGCTTCTCACTTTGCTTGGCTCAGCAGCAAGTGAAGCTATTGCCATGCGCCCAATAGCATCTGGGCACACTTTGTCCGAAAAGCTGAGGACCATGGTCACTAGTGCGCGAGAAAGGTCGGCACGAGCAGCGTGTGCGGCATGGGGTCGAGACGCTGAGATGTGTAAGGTTATGGAGGATTGGTCACGGGCGAACGATCAGCCTGAACTGACCAATATGCCGGCTCGATTTTCAGCTTTGGAGAACACGGTGTTGTCAGGTATGCAGAAGATACTCTACATACCTGAAGCAGCTGTGACCAAGTCCGGATCAGTAGCTGTTGTTTCCCCTCCGACTGCAAAGCTGGTACAGATGGTCAGAAGTCAGTTCGTAACGTCACTCTACAAAGCCTTGTCTGGTATGGTTGAGAACGCCGAGAGTTCAAAGCCACACAACGCGAAAGACGAGGTCGCAAGCTCCGATGACATGGTTGTCTCAAGAGTCATCGACGAAAGGCTTCATGGAAAGAATAAAGTGACTTCCTCCACGCAGCTTCTCTTCGACAATCCGCTAACACTGCACAGAACATCCGCAAGCTCCTGACCCTCTCCAACCTCGCAGCTCTTCAAAGCTCTATCGTCCCTAACCTGACCTCCCAATTCGAAAGCAACTTCTCCATAACGCTTACTGACGAATCCAAAACCCTCCGTGATGCTCTTTCCCAAATCTCCGAACGCCTTTTTCTCTCCTATACGCAACCTACAGCCAATGAGCTTTCCTCTATCATCTATGCCGGCATCTCCTCTTCAGATTGGGTACCCGCCACCGCCCGTCCGTCCGCCGTCCAGCCATATGTCTACGAATCGTTATTGCTACTAGTCTATGTGCACACTGAAGTCTCCACAACCGCGGCACCATTGACCAATCAGATTCTCTCTCACCTCCTCGAACAAATGAGTCTAGCTTTCCTAGAGGCATTTAAACAAAGGTCGCGATATCCCCTTGCGGCTCTCATGCAAGCAACGCTTGACGTCGAGTTCGTCGCTCAGACTTTGAGTCAGTACACGACAGAGAAAGCGAGCGAGACTCAGTCCAAGATATATATCGAGCTTGACGCTGGCACAACGCCAGATGCAAGTAAACGATTGCAAGGAGAGTTACCCGAGATGAGGATGGTCTTGAAAAGACTAAGGGAAGGCACTAGGAGCGAGTTCCTCTGTTTCAAAAGGGAGAAGAAGCTCCAGAGCTGAGATCGAGACGTATAAGCAGTCACTATGAAATCATTGATGCGACGTTTATGTCAAGATACTGCGCTACCCATAGAGCGTGCCACACAAGGTTCGCAATCGACTCGCGTCCATTACGGACCCATTTTTCCAGGCCATTAGCCTTCGCTGGCGCAATGTGCAACCGTCTGCCATGAGCATAGAGCTTTATGCGTATGATGTCAAGGAAACGTCCCTAGTCGGAGGCTTCAGCAGGCTTTGTCCCAAAAACATCGCACACTCCAGCACTTTGTTGACCTTGACCGTCGTGTATACGTAGCTTGCGCAATCATAACCTCAGCTCACTACCGTTTAATGTCACTTTTCCTTCCTTGCCTGAGTGCTATGCGGCTGAAGATGTCCAAGTAAGTCTGACATTTGCGTCTAACTTCGTTCAGACCAATAATCCTACTATCATATCACCCACATTTCTGTTGAATCCTCTTCAACATTTGCACTGATGACAGGGCCAAGCCATAGCGACGACAAAATGTCAAGCGACGATGAGCAGGTCTTGGTTCTCGTCGTTGGGGGCGGCCCCACTGGTTTACTCACCAGCTATGGTCTGGCTCGTTCAGGAATTGTCTGTGTGCTTGCGGAAAAGAATCTAGAAACCACAAAGTGGCCCAAGACGGATCTTACCAACTGCAGGTCGATGGAAATCCTACGAACGTGGGGTATCGCCTAGGAGTATCGAGATCAAAAGGGTGCAGTGCCAGACGAGTATCAGTCCGACTCTCATTTTTACACAAGTATGAATGAAGACGGGCTGCTGCTTGCAAATTGGGTATCTGATTGGTGGAATGTTCTAATGATATGGCGCTGATCATGGGGATAGGCATTACCCTCGATGAAAGAATGGCAGGATGAAATCCAAGCCAATAACAATGGGAGTCAGCCAGCCGAAACCGGTCAGCGATGTTCTCAGATAATTTTCGAGACATGGATGAAGCGGAAGTGCCTTGAGCAACCGCTGATTGATTGTCGATTTGGCTACGACTTCCAATCTCTTGTAGAGAGCGACGGGGAAGTTACCGCAACTTTCACGGATCAAGCCAATGACACAAGAGTGATTCGAAGTCGATTTTTGGTGAGCTGCGATGGAGGGCAGAGTCGAGTACGAAAGAGCGCGGGAGTCAAAATGGTTGGAGGACAAATGTTAGAATCCACTCCTCCCTCCCAACGGTTGCACACTGAATCGATTGATTTAGGCTTGCGACAATGCTCCTCGTCCATTTCCGATCCAGAGAGCTTGCGAAATTGCGTCGTTTTGGTCGTTTTGGTCGTTTTGGCATGCCTTTTCTCCTGACAGGGTGAGTACATCTCAAATCCTTGCCATAAGTTCGATTAGGAATCTGAGTTGTTTGGGATGTTTCCCAACCTCTGGAAATGGGACCAAATTTGGTTCGGTCCTGGAAGAGATCAGCTAACCTTAGAAACCACAACAGAGCTTCTTGATTGCCCAGGACGCAGTGTATTGGATTGTCCCCTCTCTTTGGACATTAAAAGACTGACAGCCATACAGAGATACCTTCACCGCGCACTTAATGCTGGACAACCCAAACATCACGGCAACAACCTTAGACCCCCAAGAGGCTATTTACCGGGTTTTAGCAGGGGCGGCAGGCAAATATCCCGTAAAGATTGGCCAGATCCTTGTCTGTAACATATGGCACCCTAACCTCGCTCTTGCGGAACACTACGCATCTGACTCAGGAGCGGTTATCTTAGCAGGAGATGCCGGTATGTTGATCCATCTTCAAGAGGTCATATGTCTGACTGGATTTAGCTCACAAGGATCCACCGCACGGCGGGTACGGTATGAGTTCTGGCGTCGAAGATGCCCTTGCCGTTAGCTGGGGATTAGCCGCCGTTCTCAAGGGTTATGGAGGCCCATGTTTACTGGCTTCGTACCTAGATGAACAAAGGTCAACCATGATTGACCGCCTAGAGCGTTGCAGGCGCCATGTCATCGAGCATAAACTAAGGGTATAGTGGTATCAGGATAACCCAAAGCTTCTGACCGCTGGCACTCCCGCCGGCATTGCGTTGCGGGAGAAGCTTTCTTCCTACATTACCACATCCGGTAGCGAGTATCGAGATCGAGGAATAGAACTGGACTCTCGCTACAAGTCCGCTGCAATATCTTCTGACAATACCGAGGAACCGCCATATGATGTGAAAACTTACGTCTCTAGTATGGACCCCCCAATTATTCCATCTGTCTCATCTTCCGATTCTGTCACGCTGATCAATCGAGAGGTACCAGACCCGGCCACCGAGCTCCTCATGTCTTTCTCAAGGACGGTAAAACAAGTACTGTTGATCTCATTGCTGGCCAATGGACCCTTGTTGACTTTGTGGACTCATGTTCCGACAGCACCGCGGTGGACGGGTTTGTTCCCATGGCACGAAAGCAATTCGGCATTCCCTTGAACCACGCTGTTCTGCGATCCGAGCAAGCCGCTCATAGCATATGGGGAACTAATTTGGCGCTCTGCCGTCCAGACGGTCACGTTGCCTGGCGTGCCAATACCATGCCCGAATCTGCCGAAGCGAGGAAAGAGATTCTAGCAACCGTGACTGGATACCAGATTCATGAGGATTATAACAAGCGAGAGATGGACGAAGATAGGGTACGCGCTAAAGTTGGGATCGCTACCTCTTTTCAGACTGCTGTACTTGCGCACGACGACGACGACGATGATGATAAAGGCGTCTGAAAGATTGTCATTTTTTTATTTTTTTTTCTCACTCATTTTTAACACGTCACATATCTGAGATACTCCCGAGTATTAACCCCTTTCCCTTTTAGCACGGAATTCCGGAAAGTCAATTCGTTATGACGAAATACCTCGGGCTGCTTGCCGACGAATTTTTTTTATTTAATTAACCCTCGGGGGGGGGGGTTTTTTTTCCCCCCCCCTCCTCTTTCTCCCCTTTGGGGGGCAATTTTTTTATAAACTTTTTTTGGGATTACCCCTCAAGGCCGGTGGGGCCAAGCTGAGACTTGCCGACGAAGGGGAATTAAATGTCATTCACTCGATTCTCTTCTTCATGTTTACCGCTCATACTTATTGATTTGATAGAAAAAGAAAATACAAACATAATCTTACATTGACCTGTCAATCCTACTTACTTCTTTTACTTCTTTACTTCCTCCTACACATTTCAAGGGCACAACAACCTCGTTGGCATCGAGAGTAAAAGCAAATCATGCCTCCCTCCGTATGTCCCAAAAATTTAAAAATGTCTATACAAGAACATCAATATACTAATGTTTGCTTCTATTAGGGTCTGGCAATACTCATTGGAGCGGTCAGTTCCCACAGTAGCCTCGCCATCCCCATAGAGGCATTGACAGCCTTTCTACACAGGGACCTACCAGCGGCGCAGGCATATGTAGAATACTCGCACATCCATCTCATGGAAATCTTGCCGTCGCTGTTCTGGCTCGAAATTCGGATAATCTGAATGCGGTAGCGAAAGGAATCCGCTCGTCCACTCCCAACCCAGTAGAAGCCTTTCCCACCGACACCTCGCCCGAGAAGCTCTCCAAAGCTTTCTCCGACATCCGCTCCCATAGCTCCTTCAAGGGCTTGAAGCTCAAGGTGGCTGTTTTTCATGTCAAACATGCCTCCAAGGTAACACACTGCTCTGACGTTTTTGATTCTTACTTCACCTGACATGCAAACGATAGAAACCTTTTCTTGAAGAATCTCATTCCGATTTCACCGAATCGCTCAACACGTATGTTGGAGGTGCAATGGCATTTTCAAAGGAGGTAGTGAGGATGCTCTTCGACCAACACGGACAGACACTTCTGGCAGACGGTGGTGGAAAGAAAGGCACACTGATCTTTACTGGGACCCTCGGGGCCATGAGAACGAATGCGAACTTTGCGGCATATGGAGCTTCGCGGTCAGGGGCACGGTCGCTGGCCCAAGCCTTAGCGAAAGAGTACTCGCCGAGTAAGTGCGCTTTTGTATTGGATCTTTCGCATTGTGTACCGTGCACAGAGTCGCAAGACATACTTGGAGTCTTCTATCCAACAGATACGTCTTGTTGTTCAACCATAGAATTGGACAGAAAATGTTGACTCTGAAATATCTAGGTGGCATACATGTCGTACATACAATAGCAAACGGGTAAGTACATCGCCAAGTCATCGCATCCTGTATTCTGGGGCGGGAGAAGTGTAGAGGATAAGGCCCTGTCTTTGAATCAACTTCCACCTAGAGAAATCCTGCTAATTCCGACAACTTACCAAGCGGGATCAAGGACGAAGATGGGGAAGCACAGCACCAGGGCAAAGTCATGAAGGCTGAAAGCGTGGGGTGAGCCGACTTTGATCTGAGAACATTGTGGATACGTACTGACCGTCGAACAAAGTAAAACGTATCTATGGCTAGCGAACCAGGAACCAGACCTGTGGACACATGAATTGGATTTGAGACCTGCTCAAGAAAAGTTCTGATGTTACTTGTATCAAAAAGACCAACAACGGGATAGTCGAGCGAAGCACCGACAAAATGAGCGTACGTAGAGCCTGGCACCACCCAAAGAAGTGCCCTTTCTGATCCTTTCTGGCCTTTTCGTGATTCATGGCAAAAGGATGAAAGCGGCCTGTTAAAAAGCAAAAGTCTAAATCCTTCAATCTGGCGCCGCTCACAGAGGTAATCTGAACGCAGACTGTTCGTATTGTGTGGTCGCAAGCTAGAGGTTGTTGAGCGCTTGAGCTTTCGGCATTCTCAGGACCGGTCGGGCTTTGGAGCTCTGTCCTCTGCCATGAGGATTAATGACGACCAAAGTACTCAGAAAACGCTAGCGAGATGATTTATTTTCAGGCCTCAAGCGAAGTGGGAAACCCACCCATTCCAATCGACGATAGACTGTAGATAGCATCGAAATTCGATTGCTGGCGATAGGACGTTGAATTAAAATCAATCACTGCAAGCACGAAAGGAAAAGGTTGGCAATGGAAAATATTGGCAATGGAAAAGATTGGCAGTGTTGCTCAGAATCTATTGAAAGGGTTGTATGCAGGCAAACAGTCAGCAGCATGATTTACCACACCTCGTCTTCCGCTACGTCATAGTCGACTTCGGTGTTGGCCAACACAGTTCCCTTGTCAGCGTGATGATCATCCGCCCTTGTGCCACCCATTCCTGTGTCGCCATCGGTCTCCGCCTGTTTCGGTGTCGGTTGGCCAGACACACCTGGAGCATTAAACCACGCGAAATCCAGTTTTCCGACCAATGGAATATCATGAACGCCGTACATAAAGGTCTCTGCCGTGGGTCGGTCTTTGAAAGTAACGACTTGGGTATCAGGGCGATCCGGATGACCTTCGATGGCCTCGAACTCGCCCACTCCCTGCATTTCCACAACATCAGTCTCCAAAGTGTCAGCCAAAGAGTCCAAAGTCGAAGACCTACCAGCAAATACTGCCTCAGAGCCTCGTCTTTCTCTCCACTGAGGTCGCCCGTGACCGCCACTTTTTTCGTTCGATTATCCAAGTTGTATTTCCCACCGCCTCTGCCCACAAAAGCGCTTCTGCCACGAGGGTTTCCCCTGAATGATTCCGAGCCCGAAGCAAACCCTTCCCAACCTAGTAGATTCAGAGTCAGTATTGCCTGTTCGAGATTGTCTATCGAGCCTTGGAACATGTCTACAGAGTAGACGCTCCAAGACGTGTCTCAAGACTCAACATGGACTCGGAAAATACGTACCGCGATAGGAACCCCGACCCCTGCCTCTTCCTCGTCCTCTATATTGGTAAGGCGTATCGCTTAGCGCTGAATCCAGGCCCAGGCTCTTAGCCTCTGCCTCCAGTTCTGCGACTTTCTCCCGTAACGCCTTCGTGTGCGCGCTCACTTTGTTGTCGTCCGCCCCATGGCTTCCATTTGTAGCGTCAGTCATTGATGTATCGCCGTTAGGCGCCACAACCTTTGCCGCCAACTTTTCGAGCAGCCTCCGCTTCTCTTCGGCTTGCTTCTGGGTCAACTCTTCTTTCTGCTTCTCTAGCGCATGCCTCTTTGCTTCCACGTCTTTCATCTGGACTTTCTTCTCCTCCAGCTTCTTCTGAGCTGCCACCGCGTCTCGCTCGAACTTCTCTCTGTCAAAGGGTGGTCCTTCGTCCTTGGACATGGGAGGCGACTTTACGGTTCCTTTGGCAGTCGCTGGTGGAGTAGGTAGTCCACCGGGCTTATACCAGTAGACCTTAACAAATCTATTTTCGAATATAACTTTCGGGCTTTCATAGGCTCTCCTGGCAGCCATGTAATCGTCGTACTTGACTAAAGCAAGGCGTTTATATGGCTGCATTGTGACTTGCTCAATGTTGCCAAACTCGGAAAAGAAGTCTCGGACAGATCGGTCGTCGAATTTCTCCTCTGGAATCTGTTCGACAACAATAGTGGTTATGGACCGGTCGTGGTTGGGACCCGCTTGAGAAAAGTCGGCCCGGTGGTTGTTGCGCCGCTGCAAGAATCCCCCCCGGTCTCCTCTTCCTCTTCCTTGAGTATACCCATTTCCTCGGTGCTCCTGTGATCCACCGTGTCCATTCGACGTAGGGGAGGTAGCCTGCGGGTTCATAATGGTCGAATTCTTCGGGTCGTATTCTGGACAACATTAGCTCCACCCACTTCACATAGATGGGAAACCTACCGTCTTGACCAGATGCGACCAGTCGATCTGTGCCGTGCTCGTAGGGACAAGCGTCCCCCCTTTCGCAAAAGAATTTCTCATCGTAATCCCTACATCGCTCCCTATGAGTGTTTCTCCGGGGCCCATGTGAAGGTGATAGGCTTTGCCCTCCGAATTGGGGTAAAACGTTCGGTGAGCCTGCTTGAGGAAGCGGTGGCATGCCAGGAAGCGGCGGTAATCCCATAGCTTGCATGGCCATTATTGTCGCAAGCGGATCATTGGGATCGAAAGGCGGCGGCATTGGCATATTTTGAAAGCCCAGTGCTACCGGTGAGGCTCGTGCTTGAGGATACATGGATTCTTGAAAGCCTCCTCTTCCATTTCTAGGCACGAATGCATCTGCTCTACCACCCCTGCCTCCTCTCCGCATCTGCTTTATTTGGCGCTCACCTCGCGAATAATGCGAGTCAAGCCCAGAACCCTCTTCTTGTCTGTCATTGTACGAGCGCTTCCTAGACTCTTGATATCCCCCGTGCAACCCTCGCCCAACGCCAAGTGAGCCGTATGCGCCAGCAGGTCCTGAGGGAGCTGCGAAAGTTGGACTGGTGGACGAAGCGCTCTGAGGAATCAAATTCCTGGGAGAGTAGGATTTGGTATGGATTGCCTTGAATATCTCGTCGACGAATGTGGCAGTGTCTAGGTTATAACACAGGGCCACGGTCAGCCTGAAGCTCACGCTAGCATGTACTGCATCTCTTGGGATTTCCTACATACTGTCTTTCAGGAAATCTTCCAGGCAATCGACTGCGGTCGTCCTTAGCTCTGACTCTGGGGTGTCTGCGCGCATCAAAGCTATAACGTAATCTGCCAGGACGTCGGAATCTGCGTCGGAGCTTCAAAAGTGCGGCAGTCAGCAAGACTCGAGATCATGAGGAATTATCTAGAAGTTTGGAAGGAAACCTTCTCAGCAATGGATCCTCACATACATGTTCTCGAGTCTCTTCACCACCCATGTTTTCAACTCTGCGGCATCTTCTTCTTCGATCAGCATCTTGTGAGGTGAAGGGTCAACTATCGACTTGGCCGGAATAGATGGTACAGAGCTCAGCTCTAGAACTAGGCCAGAGGCAAATGTGAAGTAAAATACAACAATAGACAGGTTTAGCAACGAATTTCAAAAGAATGATTCAAAGCGGGAATAGCCCTACCCTTCTACCGCTAACTCGATTAGGCAATATCACGAACTTCGGCGAAACCTTTATCGAAGAGTCATAAATCTCTTTGAATTTCACTTATTCTTCTTCTTTCACCATATATATACCTCATGAACTCCTCCAATGATGGGGCCCTCGTTGTGACGACCTTTATAGTCATATTGCTAGGCTATTGGGCTGTGATCGCCACTATATCACGTTATAAATACATCCCCCCAGTGAAGTACGAGCAGATCGATATTAAGGAATCATTGTGGTTTAACTCATATATGCGTGTGATGTAAAAGATGTTGATTAATCTATGTGCCCGCAGGCATCTCATGACAATTGCCCACAAAAAACAGAGAAATGCCATATCCTCATGGCAAGAAGTATGCATGCATGGTTTTTCGAATGCGGGAAAGAAATGGAAACACCGGGCTAATTAGTGGTGTGCATCCCACGAAATCTCCTGCTGGAATGAAAACTTTCGAATAATGAAATAGCTGTCGAAACAAGACATCGGACGGTTTTAGTCCGATAGGTGACCCTGTCTGCAGAGGTCCAATTGGCTATAATCGACGCAGTAGATCCTTCTCTTGTGTGCTCATTGCAGTGATGTACTACAATATGATATTGCCTAGGCACGCGGATATAGTAGGCCAAATTGTAGTGTCGTTCTCCGCCTGCTGAGTGGTGATTTGACGTGGGATCGTGGAGAGCATATGTCGTGGGATTTTGGAGAGCTGAGCCGTGTTCTTGATGATGGTGGCCTTATTGTCGCTTGGTCTCTCCGCAGTGTTCTCCGCATTTGCCTGCTGCGGTGGTCCCTCCTCTTGCTCAACTGAGTGCTCTGGCTAAGTGGCTGACTGAGTGGATAACTGAGTGGATTGATGTGAGACTGTGGAGAGTAGACCTGTTGTGTCACTGCTGCTGCTGACTATCTCCGCAAAATTCTCCGTACTGCATTGCTCCTGCTCTTGTTGAGAAATTGGCTGAGTGACTGGCTGAGTAGCTGACTGAGTGGATTGGTGTGAGATCGTGGAGAGCAGGCCTGTTGTGTCACTGCTGCTGCTGACTATCTCCGCAAAATTCTCCGTACTGCATTGCTCCTCCTCTTGTTGAGAAATTGGCTGAGTGACTGGCTGAGTAGCTGACTGAGTGGATCGGTGTGAGATCGTGGAGAGCAGGCCTGTTGTGTCACTGCTGCTGCTGACTATCTCCGCAAAATTCTCCGTACTGCATTGCTCCTCCTCTTGTTGAGAAATTGGCTGAGTGACTGGCTGAGTAGCTGACTGAGTGGATTGGTGTGAGATCGTGGAGAGCAGGCCTGTTATGTCACTGCTGCTGCTGACTGTCTCCGCAATTCTCTCCGTAGTGCATTATTCCTCCTCTTGCAGAATATCAGACTGAGTGACTGGCTGAGTAGCTGACTGAGTGGATTGGTGTGAGATCGTGGAGAGCAGGTCTGTTGTGTCACTGCTGCTGCTGACTGTCTCCGCAATTCTCTCCGTAGTGCATTATTCCTCCTCTTGCAGAATATCAGACTGAGTGACTGGCTAAGTAGCTGACTGAGTAGATCGGTGTGAGACCGTGGAGAGTAGAGCTGTTATGTCACTGCTGCTGCTAACTGTCTCCGCAATTTCAATTTTGCTATGTTTAAATAAGTAGTTACGCTAACGCCGTATAGGGCAACTTTGCAATTAAATCACTATTTTATAATATAAAATAGTAATTTAATTTATAAGTAATCGACGAGGCTAATAACTACTCTATATGATTAGCCTATTAAATTATTACCCTTTTCGTTTTAAATTATTCTTTTAAATTACATTACTAAATCTATCTAATATACTTTACTTTATTTGCTATTTTTTCGTCGACAAATAGTTTAACCGCTAGCTTACCTCTATATTCTTAATTATTAGAAAATAAAAATATTCTCGTAAGCACCTCTCTTCTAGAAAATAGAGATTAAAATTTCTTAAATATCTTTATAATTATTACTCTTTATAATCTATTATTTATATTACTCTTACTTATAATAATAATTAATTAATTCTAAGATTTTTAAAAGATTTTAATTTAAATATTATAAGATATAATATATCTCTAATTATATAATTATTACGTTTTTAATTATATTTTTAATATAACTTAACGATTTCTTTAACTTTCTTCTTCGATAGCTTTTAATAATTTAACTTATATCTTTTAAAGAAATATCTTTCTTTATACTTATAACTACTTTTATTAATTTAAGAATATACTTACTTCTTTTCTATTATAATTCTAATAATAATACTTAATAGAAAAAAGAAAAAAAGTTCTATAGTTCTAGTATATCTTAAGATTAAAAATTGAAATATTAATTATTCTTCTATAGGTTTATAACCATAATTAATTATAATCTAAAAATTATAAGATATATATTTTATATATTAAAGTATTTATTATTAAAGTATTTAAAAAAAACGTAAGTAAAATATTAAAATATTAATTTAATATTACGTTAAAAAATTATCTCGACTATTAAATAAGTTTTAAGATTAAGATTTTTTTTTCTTAACTATTTTAAAGCTATAAAGAGTATTTTATAATATTTACTATTATTCTATTTTATAATATAGCGAATAATTTAAATCTTTTAAAAATTTTAAAATTTAATCTATATTATATTTAGAAAAGTAATATACGTATATTCTCTTTTAATATATATATACTCTCTTTTAATATATATATATCTTCTTTAAATTCGATTAGCTTTCGCGCGGCCGCTAGTCGTATAAAGTATAAACTTCGTATATAGCTTTCTAGAAAATATTATCGAGACTCTTAATAATAGTAAGATAAGTCTTCTTAGATCTCTTCTAATAAAGTCTAAAAGATTAGACGATTTTAAATCGTTAAATGAATTATTCTTCTATAGCGATAGATAATTAACTAACTACTCTCTCTCGTTACTATTAGAAATACGTCTATCGTACTCGAATATCTACTATCTATAAACTATCTAGCCTTTCTATAGCTAAAAGATATTAAATATAATCTCGTTACCCTATATATAGACTAACGTATTACGTTTACCTCGCTATCGACTATCTCGCTATCGATTATCTCGCTATCGACTATCTCGCTATCGACTATCTCGCTATCGACTATCTCGCTATCGACTATCTCGCTATCGACTATCTCGCTATTCGTCTTATATAGCCCTACTTCGACTATATACGAGGTTTATACTCTATACGACTAGCGGCTACGCGAAAGCTAATCGAATTTAAAGGGGGGTATATATATATTAAAAAGAAGTATATATATATTAAAAGAGAGTATACGTATATTATAAGTCTATATTTATTATATTTTAATAGTTTTCTAAATTATATTAATTAAAATTCTTAATTTTTTAATTTTAAAGTATATTAGAATTATAAATTTTATTTTTCTTTCTTAAGAATTATATAATTAGAAGTAAACTAAGAATATATATTCTATATTAAAAAGTTATCTCGATTATTATATAATCGCTAAGACTTTCTTTAAAAATCTTAAGAATTTAATAGATTTTTATTTTTATTATATATTAGACGAGTAAAGGTCTATAAATTAAATTTATAATTTTTTTTTTATTAGAGCTATCGAGTAAATTTAATAAGCGAACTTTTAATAGACGATATTTAAATTCGTTATCTTTAAATATTTATAAGATTAAATTTAATAATTCTTTTTTTATCTAAAAGCCTATATTTCGTTCTATAATTTAAAAAAAAAATATTAAAATTTTAATAGAAAATAAAAAAGTTATTCTAAAATCAAATAATATATATCTAATTAGAGCTATTCGATAGACTCTTCGACTATCGAGCGAACTTTAATAAGCGATATTTAAATTCCTTGCGCTTTAATAACTATAAAATTAAATTTAGAAATTCTTTTTTTATCTAAAAGCTTAGATTTCGTTCTATAATTTAAAAAAGAATCTCTAAAATTTAATAGAAAATAAAAAAGTTATTCTATATATTAATAATATATATCTATTTTTTTAATAAGAGACGAGATTTTTAATAGTTACGAACGCTAATTTATTTATTCGCGATATCTAATTAAAAAGCGTAGATCTATCGAATTTATAATTAGCTATATATATAAATTTAAGGTTTTTAAGCTTAGCTCTATCTTATTCTATTATATTAGTATATATAATAGAATAAGATAGAGCTGAGCTTGGAAACCTTGAATTTATATATGCAGCCAATCATCAATTCGGGTCCTATACGCTTTTTAGTTAGACCGGCTAAGTCAGCCCGATAGCCCTCCCGCACCTCCCTCATCAAAAATTTATATATAGAAGTTTTACACTTTAAAGTACTCAGCTTACGATACATACAATTACTTCATAATTCCTCAAATTGTAGAGCTCGCTTTGCGCTTTCTAACGCTGTAAAAATTATGAAGTTTGGCCTACTATTGATGGATTAAATGAACATTCAAATATGATAGTCATGGTAGTCACACCAGACGCGTCCGGGATCGGATAATAATCCTTCCACCTGTTTATTATTCTTCCACCATTCTATCAATTTACCAATATAAACACAATCGTCCTCGATACCCCTCGCGGAAACGTTACTAAACGCTTCAGGCACGTATCCCTTCCGCCCGTCTTTTGAACCCCTTACTAACGCCCCCAGGCCACCCCTCGACGAATCCGCTACTGCTGGCAATCGAGGTCGTAAGCGAGCCCAACAGCTACCTACTACTGACGCGTTGAAAGGCCCTCAAAAAGAGCCCGAACGGATACGTCCTCCCCTACATACTTCTCCCAAGCCAGCGGTAGTGCCTTCCAAGCGATGCT